AAGGTTTTAGGCTTTAGTCTTTCTCATTTAATTGTCAAATTTCCATTTGCAATTTATCTATTTTAATTAACTAACCCATCATAATTTTTAAATGACGGTTTAAAACATCACTGAAGGATCAGTGAGAAGTGAATCAAATTTTACTCAGGTATTGCTTAATCAATTACAGAATTTTAGAGATAAGAGCAGTGGACATCTTGGCTGCTGCCAAACATTCTATTAAGTCTTTCTAGAAACTTCTCTTCCTCCTCCTAAGTTCCTCACCTACACACAGCTGCTTGAATCAGAAACATTCAATTGTTCCCTTCATCCAAACAAGGCCAACAAACTCTGTTCTCAGTTTGGAATTGGGACCAAGGAATTTTAACCTGAGCATATCTGCTCTCTTCAACAGACAAGATGTAAACTCAGGAGTGTTTGTAGTTATTTTCCTCATTTGAACTGAAAAATGGAGTGAGCTGGATAGAAGCAATACTGAAGAATGTAGCAAGTGCAGAGGTAGGGGTGAGGGCATCCCTGGATTGCCTATAACGTTCCAGGCTGTTACTGAAGCCCAGCTCCAATCTAAGTCTATGAGACACAAATTTGTTCTTTAAACCAATTCCCTCTTTTTTTCTCTCTTCTAGTTAAAGAGGGCTTCTATTATTTACAATTAAAATATGTGTAACTGCTACATCACCTGGTCCACAATTCTCATGGTACAGGAAAAGAAACAGAAATCCAAGGATGATAACTGATTTGTTCAAAGACCTAATTTTCAGTAACAGAGCTGTGACTAGAACCCAGTTTCCTGCTCCCTCCTTGGTAGGCTTTTCTCTGATGTTAGATGAACATTCATTGGATGAACAAATGACCCCATGAATTAACTCACTCTGAATCTCAACTCATAGTTCTTTTCTAATGGGTTTGCCATCTTCTTCTGGTCTGAACAAGTAATGAACTGTCTCTGAGGTACTTACTTCCCAGAAGAGAAACACCCAGCTTTAAAGTTCAGCTTCTCCTGCTCAAGCAGTTTGAGCTAATTATGAAAAAGCCTTATTTGGTGCATGGATTCTGTGCAGTGCCCAGATGTCCCCCTCAGAAGGAGACAGACATTTCCCTAGCTCCTGGCATTGTCTTGCTATTTCTAGGAGTTGTGCCACTGAAAGGAACTGCCTCGCTAAAGTTACACCTCTTCCCTGGGGTGGTCCTCCTTCAATGACTATTGATACCAAAGGACAAAAGCCTCGTCCCCTTGCTCAGTTCAAGGCAATTCTGAAGGCCATTTCAGCTCTAGGTCTCCTTTGCAGCTGCATCACAGTTCAACAACTCCCTCTTCCCAGTCTTGCTTCTCTCACTCCCTCATGGGGGTTATTCCTGACTGTACTCCTTAATTTAAACCTCCTGCATGCAAAACTCTATCTCAAACTCTTTCTCTGGGAATCTCACGTAAAACAACAGCCCTTTCACCCTGCTGCCAGAGTAAAAGATAAGAGGAGAAAAAAAAAGCTACAAAGAAGTTTGTGGCAAAAAGCTTAAGATTCCCCAAACTTCTCCTGCCTCACAAAGTCCTATCTTTTTCATTCCATTTTTCAGATGCTGTTAGGTATATCTGTTTATCCTTTAAGAGATTAAAAACTCATTATCTTGTATATTTATTATATTTTATAAACCAATTTTTAATAAATTATTTTTATATTCTTAAAACTCTATTTAATTCCTGGGTAGCACTAATTACACTATAATACATCCTGAGAGTTTTCCCTGCCAGATTGTTGTCTTTGAATCTCTAGTACCTATCTTTGAGACTGATCCTACGAAATTTAGTTAATGTTGGTTGAATAAATGGAGAGACTGCATTCAGCTAAAACTAGGCAAAAAAACTATAGCAAGAAAAATATTCTAAATTGAAGGTCTGAATCACATGTTATTGAATAAGATTTCTTATTCTCAGGAGCTCTGAGATAGTAACAATAGATTGCCAGAAAGACATTTTAGAAACAACTTATTTCTTCATCTGCTGATGAATATTTGGGTTATTTCTACTTTGGGGCCATTACAAGTAAGGCTGCTATAAATAAGTCTTTTTGAAAAACTTGAGAAATGATTGATGCATAACATTATATTAATATCAGGTATACAACATAATGATTCAATGTATATATTGCAAAATGACCACATTAAGTCCAGTTAATATCCATCACCACACATAGTCGCAAATATTTTTTCTTGTGATGAGAACTTTTAAGATCTACTCTCTTAACAACTTCCAAGTACACAACACAGTATAGCTACAGTCACCATGCTGTACATTATATCCCCAGGACTTTTATCTTACAGCTGAAGCTCAGACTTTTTGATTCCCTTCACCCACTTCACCCACCCCTCAAACCTAGACTGCTGCAAACACCCATTACCATGAGTTTGGGTATTTGGGGGGCTTTTTGTTTTATTTTCTTCTTAGATTCTACATACAAGTGAGATCATCTGGTATTTGTATTTCTCTGACTTATTAGCATAATGCTCTAAAGGTTCATCCATGTTGTCACAAATAGCAAAATTTTTTATGGCTGAATAATATTCCATTGTATATATGCATACACATACATATATACATTTATACACATATACACATACACACAACATTTTCTTTATCCAGTTATCCAGTGAAGACACTTACGTTGCTTCCACGGCTTGGCTATTGTAAATAATACTGCAATGAACATAGGGGTGCATATATTTTTTCCAGTTAGCATCTTCATTTCCTTCAGATAAATACTCAGAAATGGAATTGCTGTATCACATGGTAGGCCTATTTTTTTTTAATTATTACGTTTTGGGTATACAGCATTATACTTTGACATCTGTATACACTAAAGTGATCTCCACCACAAATTTAGTTACCATTCATCATTATACAGTTGGCCCCCTTCACCATTTCACCCACCCCCAACCCCTTCTCCTCTGATAACCATTAATCTGATCTCTGTATTCATGAGCCTGTTTTTTGGTTTCTTTGTTTGTTCTGGGTTTTTTTGATTCCATATATGAGTGAAATCATACAGTTTGTCTTTTTCTATCAGACTTATTTCACTTAGTGTATACGTTCAAGGTCCATCCATGCTGTTGCAAATGGCAGGATTTCATTATTTTTCAACTGAGTAGTATTCCATTGTGTATATATGCCACATCTTCATCCATTCATCCATCGATGAACACTTAGGTTGTTTCCGTATCTTGTCTGTTATAAATAATGCTCCAGTGAACACAGGGATGCATATATCTTTTTGAATTAGTATTTTTATGTTCTTTGGATAAATATTCAGAAGTGGAATAGCTAGGTCATATGGTAGTATTATTTTTAATTTTTTGAGGATCCTCCATACTGTTTTCCAGTGGCTGCACCAATTTACATTTCCACAAGCAGTGCACAAGAGTTCCTTTTCTCCATGTCCTTGCCAGGACTTGCTATTTCTTATCTTTTTTATAATAGCCATGCTAACAGGTGTGAGATGATAGCTCATTGTAGTTTTGATGGGCATTACCCTGATGATGAGTGATGCTGAGCATCTTTTCATGTACCTGTTGGCCACCTGAACGTCTCCTTTGGAAAAATGTGTATTCAGATCCTCTGCTCATTTTAAAATTAGATTGTTTCTTTTTTTTTGCTATTGATTTGTATGAGTTCTGTATATACTTTAGACATTAACTCCTTAACAGATATATGATTTGCAACTATTTTCTCCTATTCTGGAGGATGCCTTTTCATTTTGTTGATGGTTTCCTTTGCTGTGTAATATAAAAATGCAAGTCTTTGTATGGATAAATGCTTTTATTTCTCTTAGGTAAATACCTAAGAATGCAAAGTATATGTTTAACTTTGTAAGAAATTGCTGAATAGTTTTCCAAAGTTGTTCTGCCATTTTACACTCCTAGCAGCAATGTATGAGAATTTCAGTTCCTCTACATCCTTGCCAAGATTGGTATAGTCACACATTCTAATTTGAGCTATTCTAATAGGTATGTAGTAGTATCTCATTAAGGTTTTAATTTCTTTTTTGTGTGTGTGGTTTTAATTTCTAATAACCAATGATTTTGAGATCTTTTCATGTGCTTATTTTCCATTTGTGTTTTTTGATAAAGTGTCTATTCAAAAATTTATCTATTTAAAAAATTGGGTTTTTTGGTATTCTTATGACAAAAAATTCTTCATATTTTCTGGATAAAAGTTCTTTATCAGTTCGTGATTTGCAAATATTTTTCCCAGTCTATGGATTATCTTTTTATTCTCTTAACAGTTACCTTTTGCAGAGCAAAGGTTTTTAATCTTGATAAAGTCCAGTTTATTTACTTTTTCTCTTATTATTGTGCTTTTGGTATCATATGTTAGAAATTCTTGCCTAACCTAAAGTCACAAAGATTTCCTCCTGCTACTTCAAGAAGTTTTACAGTATTAGGTTTTATATTTAGATCTATGTTTAAATTGATCTTGGGATAATTTTTGTATATGCTATCAAGCATGGATCAAAGTTTCATTTTTTCTTTTTGCATATGGATATCCAATTTTACTCTCTTTTATCATAGTTGATTTAGCTACTTAAGGACCTCTATTATTCCTTATAAATTTTTGAGTAAGTTCTACCAGTTCCTTATAAAAATCCTACTGCAATTTTAACTGTGATTACAATACATTTAGAGATCAATTTGGGAAGAATCAATAAGAATATGTTTCACCAATTATTTCACTGAAACTGTCTTGCTAAAGTCACCAAAGTCACCTTCACATTGGTATTCCTAGTGGAATTTTCATTGTGATCACAATGCAATCACCTCCTCTCAACAAAACACTTTTTTTTTGACTTGGCTTCCAAGACTCTGCATGCCAGGGGTCAACAACTTTTTCTGTAAGGGGACCAGACAGCAATTTCGGGGTTTGTGGATCAAGAAGTTTCTGTTGAAATTACTCAACTATGCCACTGCAATGTGAAAGCAGCTATCAACAATATGTAAATGAGTAAGTATGGCAGTGTTCCAATGTAGGTTTATTTACAAAAGAAAGAAGTGGGTCACATATGGCCCCTGTGACCCATAGTTTGCCAACCTCTGTTCTACATTCTCCTTGTTTTCACCCTACTTTACTGGAAGCTTCTTCTCTGTTTCTTGTGCTTGTTTCTTCTATCCTTAACTCTTAACGCTGAAGTGCCCCAAAAGACTCAATCATTGACTTTTCTTCTTCTCTTTATATAATCAATTTCTTGCTGATTTCATCTAGTGTCATGATTATTTATATTAATTGCTCTCATATTTATCTCCAGTCCAGACTACTTTCTGAACTATAGATGTTAATCCAATGTCTTTTTAACAACTCCACTTGGATATTTTCTAGACATTTCAATTAATATATGCTCAAAACTAAATTCTTGATCTTTATTCACAAATCTATTCTGTTTTCACCATCACAATTGATGGCAACAATATCCTTTCAGTTGCTTAATCCATAACCATTGGGAATCATCTCTGACTTCTTTCTTTCTGTCTCACCTCATACTCAATCTATTAGGTAACACACGAGTACTATCAAAATATACCCAGAGTCTTGCCACTTCTCACCACCATCACTGCTGCCACTCTGGTCTAAGCCACTGTCATCTCCTACCTAGAATAATGCAGGAGACTCCTAATTGGTATCCCTGCATTCATCCTTGCCCCCATAATCTACTTTCAGCACAAAAGCTAGAATGATGTCTTTAAAACTTAAAATCAGAGCAAATCACTCCTTTTCCCAAAACCATCTAATGGCTCTGTATTTCATTAAAGTAAAAATCTCAGTCCTTAATAATAGCCTACATAACCTAGCATTTTTATCATTTAAAAAATGTTTATATCACATTTCTTGGACTATATTTTTAGCTGTTATTCATTAACACATTTTGTATACTCATATGGTATTTAGTAATAAATTCTACTTATGTATCACTTCAAAGAAAATCCCTGCCTCCTACCATATCATTTCTATGACTTTTGTTCTCCAACTACTGTCCTCCTAAAATTACTTTGCTCTGTCACTTGGTTCTCCTCAAACACAGCGGACAAGAACCTGCCTCAGGAACACTGCATTAACACTGCACTGTGTTTGGAAAGCTCTTCCCTTAGATATCTGCATGGCAAGATCCCTCACATACCTCCTTTGTCTTTGCTCAACTATCACTTCCTTAGTGAGACCCTCCCTGATCACAGGATTTACAGTTGCAACACACTGCTCTTTCTAGCTTTCCTATCTTCCTTTCCTGCCTTATCTTTCTCCCTATTACTTACCGCCTTCTAGTTTATTTCTTAATTGTGTTTATTAATCTGTCTCTCACCTACACAAAGTGTTATGTTTCCCCAGGGCAGTGAATTACTGGCAGTCCCAACGGGAAAAAGATAATGTACTTATAATACATGTTTGAGGAAGCTTTGTTTATAAAGGTACTATTACAAAACTACGTGTGTAGGGGAACTCACATGGATGAGATGTTGCTGACCCAGATCTGAGGAGGGGAGGGAAGCTCTTACTCAAACTGCAAGGGAAGAACTGTACAGAGATCACCTTGACAGAAACTTTGAGGGACGATGCCAACCTGAGGCAACCTCTCAGGGACAGAGCCAGAAAAATAAATACCTGCCTTCACTCTCTTCCCTCCCCCTGATTTCTGTCCAGGGTCCTCCACTCGCTGAACCAATCAAAAGCCAGAGGGTATGGGAAACACTTGAGCTGATTTATACAGGTCAGTCTTCCCAGAAAAGGCTGAGAGCAGCATCAAGAAGGGCTGAGAGTGGATCTGAAAATCACAAACAGAAGGTGAGGCAGGCATTTTTGTTACTTTGCTTCATGGCTGTACACTACTTGTAGGAGGTTTATAACCAATGTGTGTCCAGTCTCTGTTCAAAAAAGATAGAATGACAAATTGTAACAGTTGCTACTATGGGGATGAATAAAATAAGAGCCGAGAATTGACCTTTGGACTTACCAAGTAGAGGTCAACAGTAACTGGAACAAGAAAGGTTTCAGTGGAGTGATTGGAATTAAATCTTGATTGGGATCAGTATAACACATGGGGGCAGAAGTGGAGAGAGTAAACACAGAAGCTTTTTAGAGCAAAGAAGCTCAAAGGCAGGGGTGGCAGTTCAAGACATTTTTTAAGATGAAAATATTTCAGAAGGTTAAATGCTGTTGAGAGCAATCTAGTGGAGAGAGGGAAAAAATATTTGGCAGAGAAGGAAGATAATTGTAGGAGCAAAGTCCTTCAATAGCTAAGAGCATTAGACTGATTCCAGTGGATAGTAATTTGGGATATGATCAAAGTAGCTTTACATGTTATCAGGAAAAGGATGGGCTCATTCAATAAATAATGGTGAGGTAAATTGTTATCTCATAAAAAAGATAAAGTTAGATCTCTCTCTCATATCATAAATAAAAATAAATTCTAGACATAAAGGCCTGAAGATAAAAAGCAGAACTTCAGAAGGAAAAATCAGAGGAAAATGTGCTAGAATATCTTTATGACTTTGGAAAGGAAAAGAATTTCTTAAAAATCTATAAAGCAAAATCAATAAAGTAAAAGATTTTTTAAAAATGAATTCACTAAAATAAAGTCTCATACTACAGGTTTATCATAAACAGAATAAAAAGACAAATCACATATTTTTAGACAACAATTGTATCACAGATAACAAACAGAATTAATATCAAGAATATATATCACAGAATAGATGAACAACTAAATCCTACTATATAGCACAGGGAATTATATTCAATAGCTTATAATAACCTCTAATGAAAAAGAATATGAAAAAGAATATATATATATGTATAACTGAATCATTATGCTGTACACCAGAAATTAACATAACACTGTAAATCAACTTTACTTCAATTAAAAAAAAAACTCTATAAATAAATATAAAGGGTCAATAAGAAAAAGCCAGACAACTCAAAAAGAGAAAAGACTAAAAAGAAGAACAGTATAATAACATATATTACTACCACTAGTAGGTAAGTAATGACAGCTTGTTTGTAGTATACTCGA